GAGGGTGGGATTTCTCTGGTGTGTATGCAGGAATTTGCATGTGAGGGGCACCCTGCTTGTGGCTGCATATGAGGGGCAGCGTCCCTGTCCCCTGTCCCCCGGGGGAGGTGACCACGGGTCTCTAGAGACCTCCGCCCTCATTCCCCTGTCCCCTGTCTCCCGGGGGAGGTGACCGCGGGAGACAGGGGACCACTGATCGCGCCCCTGTCTTGACAAGCTCTCCACTGGGGGCCCTGCCCTGCCAAGAAGGAAGTGAGGTGAAGGCTATGAGGAGAGACCAAGAGATATAATATGTGCAATCAGCACAGTGTCTCTCTGTATCACACACACAGGTAAACCCTACCTGTATCTCTACACACATCAGGAAAACAGACCTGCAGGAACATTGACACACACACATCATTTGTATGTTTATGCACACAAACAGAAACACATATACATACACAAACACACATATACATATATTCACAGAACCTCAGAACCTTGATCAGGAAGTAGATCCACTGAGTGTCAGTGGAGGGAAAGAGAAAGAACAAGCATGCAGAAGCAGGAGAATCCTTGTGGACCGAGTGTTCTGGGACTGCAGGGCTTGTCCTGGTCTTCAGAGGTGTACTGAACTGGGAGAGAGATTGGTAGACGTGACCCCTCATGAGAAGAGCCTGCAGGATTGCATGAAGACACACGGTGGTTACTCGGGTAGTTTACTCCCAGGAAATAGAAAAGAAGTTTCCAGAGAGACCTGGAGTCCCTGGTGTACATGTATACTGTTCAAATCAGTGTGTCTGCATTCTGATGAAGACTGGCTCCCATTTCGGCCATAGCACCACTTCTGGCTTTTTGGCCGTTAATGGAGGTAAGAGTCTCACAGCCTTTCCTTCCTGCACTGGCTACAGTGTGATCCCCAGATCTGTGTGTGATCCTCTCCTGAACTGCTAGGATGAGAAGGAGAGCACTGGGGCCTGGCTCCACTTGCTTATTCTAAACCCCCCATTTCCTCATCAGTGTCACTGTGACACTGGGTTGGTGTTGAAATGCACACACTGCTGTGCAGCATCGGTCTCAAACAGTGAACAAGTAGTGATATCACTGATCCCGAGAACCGGGTCTCTCAAGGATCAGACTGTGATGGTGGAGAGGGAACGTCTTCTACCTGTGCCATGGATGTACCGAGACTTACTAACCGTTTATTCACTCCTTATTACTGACCTGTGTGCTCTTGATATTAGGGGGCAGACGCCAGTTCTGCAGGGCAGGAGTGTCCTTATCGGCCTCGTAGGGAGAGATGATCTTGCTTCCTGGAACAAAGAGGCACAAAGCACCAGTGTATAAACCCACTCCCCATCCGCTGTGAAAAGTGCAGTGTTTCTCTTCCTGCTGATCTCTGTCTGTGGAAACGTCTGAATGAGACGGGACAGCAGGAGCCCACGGTGCTCCCTCACAGTCCTCACCCTGCCTCCATGTCACCTGGGATTCTTGGTCTCTGGAGCAGAGCTGAGCAACTCTTTCTAGAGAATTCCACATTTGACTGCTCAGCCCATGATTCTGGCAGCAGCAGGAGGCAGAGGACGCAAGCCAGAAGACACAGGTCAGACCATGGAGCAAACGCCCTCCACTGGAGTTCATGCATGGAATCCACGTCCCTGGAGGGTCGGCAGCAGGCTGGCCCCTGTGGTGACCCAGTGAGTCTGTCACTCTCGCCTCAGGCACAGGGTAGAACGACAGCATCAGGCACTGGACGCAGCCTGTCCTCACCCCGGCCCTGGAGGAGAAGCTCTGAGAGCACAGGGCTCTGTGAGCGCTGCCGCTGCCCGGGCTGAGCTCTGAAGAGCCTTCCAATTATGGTGTCCATTCCTCCTCCACTGCGCTTTCCTCGTCTTGAGTTCTTGGCTCTTTTTGAGTGGTTTGCCTTGCTGTCTCTTCTAAATATATGAATACGACTGTCATCCAATAGTGCTGAGAGGGGTCACCAAGGTGACACATGCTCTGTCCAGTAATGAAGTCACAGGACACGTTACTGGAGGCGGCGTCTTGACCTTCACGGTCTCTCTGGAGAAGCACCAGTCAACACGCTGTTGCTCCTTATACATGCACATGAAATACTGGAGCTAAAGTGAAGGTGACAGATGATTGCTTTTTTATTTATGATGGTGGTCCTTGGCCTTGAACTCCAGGACTGCCTGGGTGCAGTCTCTGTGCATTTCTGCTTCAGGCTCAGGCTCTACTACTGAGCCCTAGCTTCATTCTTTGCCGTTGGTGGTTAATTGGAGATCAGAGTCCTATGGACTTTCCTGCTCAGCCTAGCTTAGAACACAATCCTCAGATGCCAGGTTCCTGAGTTGCTAGACTTACACGCACTATTGACAGGTGCCCAGCTAGGTGATGACACGTTCAGGATCTAACAGTTTTTGCAGAACACTTAATGAAATGGCTCCAGAACACATCTTCTCGTCAGCACAGGGCCTGTCCTCCATGAGTGATCCTACAGCAGCCCCAGGACAAGTCTCAGAAATACAGAAGCCTGAAACCACGTCATTTCTTCAACAATAGGGACGATCCAAGTCTCAGAACCTAGAAGACATCATCTCTGCAGAACATGGAGGAGTCCATGTGAGGTGATGTTCTGTGCATTAGCTTCATTTCACAATGGTTTCACAGTAACTGCACCCTCGGGATCATGGGGCTGCACAGAGGGTAAGTAAAAGGCTGAGTAAAGGCAGCAGTGGTACTCACTAGACACTATGTAGATGATGACTTATACAACTGATGGAGGGAGAAATGGGGAGAGTGCTAGGGAACGGTTGATATTGTCCAAAGAAAACCTATTCTTTACCTAACTTATTCAACTGTAACCCTGTGAACATCACATTTATAATAATAATAATAATTTTGGCAATGCTGCAAATCTAAATACATGTGTATTTAATTATGAATTTGTACCAATAGAGGTGGAACAATATTTTCCATTCTATAAAAATTTTGAAAAGTGTTTTCAGGAAACCAAAATGAGCACCAATATCAGAAGTATTCACACATGCCCTGAGATGATGCTTCCCTGTCCCCGTTACCCATGAAACACAGTGTGCCACAGTGCCTGGACCCTGAGGTCTACACACCGCTGACATGCAGGCCCCTAGACATCAGTAGAGCTCACACAGGGTTAATTGTATGTTTCCTAATTTACTCACTTTGGAATTAATTAATTAATTTATTCATTATAATGACACATGCCAACAACAGGATGCTATAAAATACACAATACACACACACATAGATAAATGTTCAATAGGTTAAGTAGATTTTGTCTAAACTATTGATGATTTCTGTTAGGTACAAATCTTCCCATCCTGTCTTCACTCCTTACAATGATGAATACAGAAGTGTCTTCTACAGTCCCCTCCCTGTGCTATGGGAACCAGGGTCTCCTCACCAGGAGTTTTCTCTTCCAAACGAGGTCACATCTGTCTCCACATGGACAGAGTAATGGATGTCTCCTGGTGAGATGAATGATTTGTCTTATCATCCTCAAAAACTGTCCAGAGAAAATCTCAGAACCTCTTCCTAAAGCCTGTAGAGTGCACACACAGGTTCTTGTTCAGGAAGTGAAGCTTGCTCTTCTCTGATCAGGATGTAATGGAGAAATAAACAAGGACCTGTTTGAGCAGGTGGGGGCGTCTGGGATGCAGGGAGCTCAGTCAGGTTGCTGTGAGATCACCTGGGCCCAGCCCCTCGTGCCCACGATGCGTGTGCACAGTGACAGTGCTCATGACGGAGCCACAGGGACCTGGCCTCCATCCCAGACGGGACATCCGCAGGACTCCAGAGCCATCGTGATGGAGGAAACCCCAGGACAGACGGGGCCCAGCAAGGTCAGTCTACATGCACATGGCCTGTTGTCTGTCCACTCCAACCCAGACTCCTCGTGTCCACTTCCACGTCCCCACGGAGGACAGCAAGTGGCCCTGGTCAGGGGACACTGAGGAGTCCACCAACGTTTCCACGGTGCCATAGACTGAGCTCCAGGGATATGGCTGACCCCTGTGTTTTCTGACTTGTGTCCCCAAGTACATTTGGTGGTTGGACAAAGAGAAGAAGAGGCTGAAAAGAGAAGAATCACTGAGTCAGAAAGTGAATGAATGGAGCAATTCTGTTAGGTCAGTTCTGAACCCCTGAACAGTGCTACAGGTGGAGGGAGGAGGGCAGCATTTGAGGCCTGTTAAGAGTGAGCTGTGTGGGTGCCTTTCTCTCCCTCTCCCTCTCCCTCCCTCCTCTCTCTCTCTCTCTCTCTCTCTCTCTCTCTCTCTCTCCCCCCCCCCCCCCAGAACTCAGGGCTAGTATTTTAGGCACACACATGCATTTCAGCCCTTTCTGCATCTTTTCTGATGTTATTTTCTGGTAGAGTGCTGTGTTTTCCCCTGGGGCAGGTTGCAGACAGTGATTCCACACTTGCCTCCTGTGTAGCTGGAATCACAGGAAACAGCTGCCACATACAGCTTATCGATTGAGATGTGTTGTCATTAAGGTTTTGCCCATTTGGCCTTCATAAATACTCATTTTTCTCTCCTCCTCCCAAGTCTCTAGCATTGCAAGCATGAGTCACCATGCCAGGCTTTTCCCTCTTGTTCACAGAACAAATTCTAACTTTGTAAATCCTGGGATCTTTACCCTGAGTCTCATGGGGTCACCAGGGTCCCTGAGCTTCTTCAGGATCAAATACTAGTCACCACTGCAGAGCAATTTTTGCTTCCACTGTGATACTCTGTTCATTCTTAAAGTCCCAGCAAAGGACTGGAGACATCACAGAGGAGTGCGGGTCATGAACTCAGGAGAGATGCTGTCACACTGTGGACACAGAGGCAGGGCAGACAGCAGGAGAGCAGCCCTGGGCTCTGTGTGCAGCTGCTCCTGAGCTGACCCGGCTCCAAGCTGTGCCGAGCGCCCCCTGCTGGTGCTGAGCGCCCTGCAGGGAGGTTTGTGTCTGGCTCAAACTGGATTTCCTGCACTGTGTCTCTAGCACAGTAATAGACGGCCGTGTCCTCCACTCTCAGGCTGTTCATCTGCAGGTAAAGTGTGTTCTTGCTGTTGTCTCTGGAGATGGTGAAGCGGCCCTTCACAGAGTCTGCGTAGTATGTGCTACTACTATCACCACGGATGTATGAGAGCCACTCCAGTCCCTTCCCTGGAGCCTGGCAGAGCCAGTGCATGGTATAGCTACTGAAGTCGAATCCAGAGGCTGCACAGGAGAGTCTCAGGGACCCCCCAGGCTGCACCAAGCCTCCCCCAGACTCCACCAGCTGCACCTCACACTGCACACCTGCAAACAGAGAGAATCTGGGTCAGCAATGGTCACACACATCCACAGATTCTCCCACTACTGTGCATTTGCACACTCAGTGTGTCTTGTCTCCATACATCACCTTTCATCAGAGCAACAAGGAGAACCCAGCACAGCCCCAGCTCCATGGTGAGAGGTCTGTGTCAGCCTGAGCCCTGAATGGTTCACCTGGAATCCAGGGCTGACGTCTCTCCACGCCTTCAGGGTCAGGGCTGGCTGGTTTTAGTGAGTAGAGGAAGGCCCTATTTGCATGTCTTCTACTACATAGTGAGAGCCGGGGTGGAGGTGTCAGGGAGGGCAGTGCTGAGGCAGATGTGAGAGTCCTGAGGGGCATTGCTACAAAGATGGCCTCCCAGAACACACGGCATCCCATTGCTGCCACCTGCTGGATACCCACGTATTCATCCCACGTTGATCTGAATATTACAGTCACCTCCCTGCACAGCCGGGAAAGTACACACAGGTTCCACACAGCAGTGTGCTCTGGGGAGAAGATCTCATGTCTGCTACGTCATCTGTCCTTCCTCTCCCTCATTGCTGAGGTCAGTGTCCTCTGCTCCATTCTTGAGCTGAGTGGGTCACGGTCCTCTAGTGAGAGCAGGAGAGACGTGATGCACTGCAGGAACTGCTGAAAGAAGACTCAGAGAGCCAGGCTCATGGGGACACTGCTGACAAGCCTGCATTTCTTCTGTCATCATCTGCATGTCTGTCACTTCCTCTCATCTCATCGACTGCTTACTGCCAAAAACCTCACTGAGGATGAATGCCTACATGAACCTCACAGTCACCAAGTGTGCACTTGACATGCATTAGCCTAGGGACAACTACACAATATCTGTACAAGTCTTTGCCAGTTCATCAATGGGTTTTCCAACAGTTGAATGTTGAGGGTTCCTCTTACAGTCTGGATGCACAAATGATGTTGGGTGTCTGATTTGCCAACATTTCTTCCTCTCCAAAGCATGTCATCTATTTATTTTTCACTGGAGCCGAAATTTGATGAGTTTCAACTTACATGTTTAATTGATCTTGATATAAAATCTAAATTATCTGTTTGCTATACCATGGGCTGTATATTTGGAATAGAAAGCCTTGATTTCCCTGTGTCTTCATTGGAGACCTGACCAGTTATTGAAGTATGTGCACATAGATGTGAATGGGAGACCTGACCTGTTATTGATGTGTGTGCATGTGTCTGAGCATGTGTGTACAGAGGCATTCATATGGCACACTTTCCATAATACTACTCACAAGTCTGGCTTCTTACCCAAACTTGAGTTAAATGTGTCAGGAGGGTTGTGCTTCTGAGTTCCATAACTTGGAGGTCCAAGTGGAAAGTCAGGCCTTGGTCCCCAGCACGTCAGCACAGAGAGGAGGTGAACGTTCAGAATGGGGCCTGGTGGGAGGGGTGCAGGCCCTGGGCCTGGGGTTGAACAGGACAGAGCCTCCCTCAAGACCAGAGGCCCTGATGTCCCACAGTCATTTCAGTCCCTGAGGATGACATTTAAAGTGTGTGTGTGTCTTATGTCACAATCTCAGCAGAACACAGAAGGAGCTGCAGTGTGGGTCTGGGTTGGGGGTGGCTGCCTCTGAAATGTCCCTGGTTCTCCTTTCTGTTTTCCTGGTCAGCATCCCTGGTCGCTCTCTGTCCACAGCAAATCTTAGGATTTGTTCCTCTGGCCACTGCCGTACTGTGGCACCTCCTTAGAGACCTCTCTGTTTGTTACCCTTTGACTCTTTCTGACTTTACATTTATCCTTTCGTTCTTTTCTCTCGTTTTATTACAAGAAGTCAAAGAACGCATTCCAGAATACTTGACACTGCTGAGAGATTCACACTTCCATAAGCTTGCTGGCCTACCCTAGGTGGACTTCTACAGTCACCCAAGATGTGAACGTACCTCAGCCACTTCTGCCACGTCCTCCCTAGGATGTCCTGTGCTCCATGCTCCCTGCCCTGTCCCTAATTTCTATCTGAGAAACATCAGAATGGCCTTTGCCATCCATCTTTCTGCCAACTTCCTGATCAGAACATGTAGATATGAGCATCTCAGCTCACAACAATGTTTTGGGCAGTGAAGTTCAAGATATATAAAGGTTGTCCCACAGAATTAAGGTGCAGATAAAACATTTCTTTTAGAACTATAGACCCATTTCTTTGATGAACATTGATGCAAAACTTCTCAACAAAATTTTGGCCAATCGACTTCAACAATTCATCCAAAAAATCATACACCACGATCAAACAGGATTCATTTCAGGGATGCAAAGCTGGTTCAATATACGCAAATCAATTAATATTATTCATCACATCAACAGGAGCAAGAATAAGAACCACATGGTTATCTCAATAGATGCAGAAAAAGCATTCGACAAGATCCAACACCCCTTTATGATGAAGGTTTTGGAAAAATTAGGAATCCATGCAACATTCCTCAATACAATAAAGGCTGTATATGATAAACCTACAGCCAGCATTATACTCAATGGTGAAAAACTAAAGCCATTTCCTCTTAACTCAGGAACAAGACAAGGATGCCCACTCTCTCCACTTCTCTTCAATCTAGTATTAGAATGCCTAGCTACAGCAATAAGACAAGATGCAGACATAAAGGGGATCCAAATAGGGAAAGAAGAAATAAAACTCTCCCTCTTTGCAGATGACATGATCTTGTATTTAAAGAATCCCATAGACTCCACTCCCAAATTACTCAAGCTGATTCAAAACTTTGGCAAAGTAGCAGGTTATAAAATTAACCCCCCAAAATCAATGGCTTTTCTGTATGCCAACAATGAGAAAAGTGTGGCTGAAATTAGGAAAGCAACTCCATTTGTAATAGCCCCACAAAAAATAAAATACCTAGGAATTAACTTAACTAAAGAAGTGAAGGACCTCTATGATGAAAACTTTAAAATCTTGAAAAGGAAATCAACACAGAACTTAAAAAATGGCAAAACCTCCCATGCTCCTGGATTGGAAAGATTAACATCGTGAAAATGGCAATACTTCCCAAGGCTATCTACAAATTCAACGCAATACCTATCCAAATTCCAACCTCATTTTTCAAGGAAATAGAAAAGGCAATCCAAAAATTCATATGGAACAATAAAAGACCCCGAATAGCAAAAACGCTCATGAATGGAAAGAACACTGCTGGAGGAATATCAATACCAAACTTCAAACTCTACTATAAAGCCATAGTAATCAAAACAGCTTGGTATTGGCATAAGAACAGATCTCAGGACCAATGGAATAGAATTGAAAACCCAGAAATGAACCTACAGACCTATAGCCATCTAATCTTCGATAAGGGAGCTAAAACAATAGAATGGAAGAAAGACAACCTCTTCAGTAAATGGTGCTGGCAAAATTGGTTAACTACTTGTAGAAAACTTAAGCTAGATCCTTATATATCACCCTGCACCAGAATCAACTCCAAATGGATCAAAGACCTTGAACTCAAAGCAGACACTCTGAAAACATTACAGGATGGAATAGGAGAAACCCTAGGTCTCCTTGGCTCAGGCCGAAATTTTCTGAATAGAGACCCGGAAACACAACAAATCAAAGAAAGGTTGGACAAATGGGATTGCATAAAGTTGCAGAGCTTCTGCAGGGCAAATGACATAGCTAGTAAGATCAATAGAAAGCCCACGGATTGGGAGAAGATCTTTACTAGCCATACAACGGACAAGGGTCTCATATCTAAAATATACTTGGAACTCAAAAAATTAAACCCCCAACAACAAATCCTCAAAGAAACAACTGCCCAATAAATAAGTGGGCGAAAGACTTAAAGAGAAACTTCTCTGAAGAAGAAAGAAGGATGGCCAATAGACACATGAAGAAATGTTCAACATCCCTAGCCATAAAAGAAATGCAAATCAAAACAACATTGAGATATCACCTCACTCCAGTTAGAACGGCAAAAATCAAGAACTCTAACAACAACAGATGCTAGAGGGGATGTGGACAGAGAGGAACCTTACTTCATTGTTGGTGGGAATGTAAACTTGTTCAACCACTTTGGAAAGCAGTATGGAGGTTCCTCAAAAGACTTCACATAGAGCTCCCCTATGACCCAGCAATCCCACTTTTGGGCATTTACCCTAATGTTTACAAACAAGACCACACTAAAGCTACCAGCACAACTATGTTTATTGCAGCATTATTTACCATAGCTAAGATATGGAACCAACCCAGACGCCCCTCAGTAAATGAATGGATCAAGAAAATGTGGTATATATACACAATGGAATTCTATGCCTCCATCAGAAAGAATGACATTGCCCCATTTGTTAGGAAATGGAAAAACTTGGAAAAAAATTATATTAAGTGAAGTAAGCCAGGCCCAAAGAAACGTAGGTCCCATGGTTTCCCTTATTTGTAATATCTAGTATATGTATGAGTCAAGCGGAAAAGGTCAGATAATGTGATGTCAGGAAAATGAACCCTTAGATGTGTATTTTAATGTTTTTTTCTTTCATGCATGTATTTCTAACACATTTATAAGATTATCTCTTTGTTGCTTTGTATGTCCCTCCCCCACAGTATAACCCCTGCTTTCACTATATTTGATGTCAGTATAACTTGTGGAGGAGATGGGGAAAAACCAGTTGTTTAAGGATACAGGTGGACCTGTTGCAACAATGAGAAGTACAAGTTGTCATGTCCAAAACGAGCTTTACAACGTTAGTCCGGGGGGGGGGGGAGGGGGGGATGGGGGGAAAGGGGGGGAAGGAGAAGGATTGGGATTAGGGGGGGAGGGGGGAGGCTGGGAAGGGATGTGAAGGGTAAACAAAGGAGGAGGCTGCAATGCTTGGTAAGAAATGTACGCATTATCCTGCCCATGTAACTGTAACTCCTCTGTACAGTATGTTCACAAATAAAATAAAATTAAATTTAAAAAAACAAAACAAAACATTTATTTAGTGGCCTTGCAGTTGTTGTAATGTCACAGCATCATGCATCCCAGCATGTTCCTGGTGATAATGTAGCTAATGTAAGGTGCTTCTAGTTGCATGAAGGGCGCAATACATTGATGTGCAGTTTAAATTTGATATGACAGTAAATGTGTTTCCTAACATTCTTGAATTCTCTATATCATGAAACACTGTGTGTTTCATTATGTCTCAATGTTTCTAGGATATTTGTTGGCAGCATTTCTTATTATATTTGGGTTGATGTATCATTTGTTTAATCTCTAGCCTTCCTCAGCTCTGATCTTGGTGAACATGGCAAAGTCAATTTCACCAATGTGTTATTCTCTGTGTTTGTTCAGGAAGTGGCATCCTATGTTTAAGTAAACCTCACAGTGGCAGGGCAGACACAGAGTGGAACTGGGGTAGAATGAGCAGAGGCAGGGCAGACACAGAGTGGAACTGGGGTAGGATGAGCACAGGCAGGGCAGACACAGAGTGGAACTGGGGTAGGATGAGCACAGGCAGGGCAGACACAGAGTGGAACTGGGGTAGGATGAGCACAGGCAGGGCAGACACAGAGGAGCACAGCTGGAAGATCCCTCTGCTCCTGGCCCTGGGGCTGAGCCTGAGCTCCCTGTGTGCTGAGCGCCCCCTGCAGGCCAGAGCCCAATGCAGGGAGGTTTGTGTCTGGGCTCTCACTGAACTCCATGCACTGTGTGCAGCACAGTAATACGTAGCCGTGTCCTCTGCTTTCAGGCTGTTCATTTGCAGGTACAGCATGTTCTTGGAGTTGTCTCTGGAGATGGTGAACCGGCCTTTCACAGACTCCAAGTATTTTTGCTGGCTTCCATCATACCATATAACCGCCACCCACTCTAGCCCCTTCCCTGGAGCCTGGCGGACCCAGTTCATGCCATAGTTACTGAAGGTGAATCCAGAGGCTGCACAGGAGAGTCTCAGGGATCCCCCAGGCTGCACCAAGCCTCCCCCAGACTCCACCAGCTGCACCTCACACTGCACACCTGCAAACACAGAGAATCCTGGTCAGCAATGGTCACACACGTCCACTGTTCCTCCCACTCGGTGCATTTGCACACTCAGTATCCTTTGCTCCTCATATATCACCTTTCAACAGAGCAACAAGGAGAACCCAGCGCAGCCCCAGCTCCATGGTGGTGGTCTGTGCTCAGTCACTGGTGGAATCAGCTCACAGAGCTCAGGTCAGGGCTGGGCTGGTTTTCATGGGCAGAGGGACGTCCTATTTGCATGTCCTCTGCTATAAAGCAGCTCTGGGGCAGAAGTCTCAGGAGGGCAGCGCACAGAGGAGATGCAGGTGGAAGGCAGAGTTTGTTAGATGAGTAGATAAACTGAAATGCCTCTAATTAATTGGCTTTAACATTAAAAACTAATTTATAATGAACTTCTTTAAAGAAGTTTATCTATCCTTAGGTTAGTCAAGATTGCTGAGCCATTTGGTTTTTAAAAATTGTATTTCCCTTTTCCTTTTGAATTCTTTCTTACCGTGTTGGTATTTGGGAGGGTGAGGGGGACATATGAAAGGTAGAACAAGGATGAACAAATACAACAGTGATACTTACCAGACACTGTGTGCAAAATGAACTGGGCCTGAACTCTGGGCCTGGGCGCTGTCCCTCAGCTCTTCAGCTCAAGGCCAGTGCTAAACCACTTGAGCCACAGCGCCAATTCTGGCTTTTTCTGTTTTTGTGATGCTGAGTAATTGAACCCAGGGCCTCAGGCATGCAAGGCAAGCACTCTACCACTGAGCCACCTTCCCAGCCCCGAAATGGAAATCTTATGGATGGGGACAGGAGGGAAGGATTGGGAGAGAGCAACAGAGAGAAAGAATGGTTCATAAAGAACTGCACTGATGGTACCTGATTCACGTAACTGTAACCGCTCTGTACATCAACTACACAAAAACAGTTTTTAAAAATTAAATAAAAAATAAAACAATTTGATCTTTAAGTTGCTCTATAAAGGTGGTGCCGTTCAGTGAAGCAGTTTATGAACACACTGAAGCTTGATCAACGTTGCCCATTTCAACATTCTTGCCCACCCCTCCACCTCCTCTTCCCTCTCTCTGGTTAATGTTTAGGACATGTATGCTGACATCATTGAACAAAGCAGTTCATGGATACAAGGCATGTGGATCTGAGTCATTCCTTCCTCACCTTTCCCCTTTGACCCACCCTTAGCTCAGTGTTCTCAATTCTGTGGCATACGCACTGTATTCTTGCCTGTGTTCTCCATGTTGTCTCCTTCATTCTTCTACCATTTGCCCCTCATCTCTCCACTCCCAGTACCCTCTTTCTGGTGCTTACTTTGTTGGTCTTTGACTTCGTCTTTGTGAAGAGCTATACTCTTTGATCTCTCCATAGGGTCTATTGTATGTGTCTCCCAGTGAGACGTATAACAACAGCAGGAGAGGACCATGAGCATCATTGTTCTGGGAAGCAGGGATGACCTGAGCTCTCTCCTCTTACTGCACATGGAGCACTGCTCTCATCCACGCACATTGTGAGAAACCTGTCAGCCAGGAAGGTCACCATGCTAGACCCAGGTCCCCAACGCCACATTGTCCCCCTTTCCCACTTGTCTCTGAGGAGCCTTTTCTCCAGGCCTTTACACAAACACAGCCTTGATACTGAGGCGTGGCAGCCTGGCTTTTGAGTGACCCAGGACTAGAAATACTACCGGCAGATCAATGCCGCACATTAAAACCAAGCCTGTTGAAGGTTACAGTGGAGGTGTTGTGTGGATGGAATTAAATTCCTCACTAATTCCTCTCTGGCAACCTGGGTGGATCTGAGTGGGAACAGCCTAGATAGGAGACATTCCACCACAGAGGCAGCATCTGCAGCAGGCCCTGCGGAAGGTTCTAGATCTCTTCCTGATGGCCAATCGCAGGAGCTCCCACCCACCCTGCACCTCCACAGCCCACGTGCTCCAGGAGGACCTGGCCCCAGCCGGTCCTCAGTCCCATGTGCACAGGCTCAGGACAGTGAGGTGATGCAGGTGAAATCCCAAGTGACGACTGTTTTTACACTCATCCATGTGCCCTTAGCTACAGATTTCCCCTGAGCTTCCCGCCAGAGTCCATAGAGAGGAGGAGAGGACAGTCCAGGGCACGCAGCCTGGGGACACCAGTGAGTTCTTCCCAGGCATGCAGGAGCCAGGGCCACAGCCTCATTGACCTCCAGGTCCCGGTACTGGGCCTGGGGTCTAGAGACTGCATACAGGCCACATCTGCAGGGGATTAATGTGAAGGTCAGGTGTGGACAACACAGAGACAATTAAGAACACATATATCCTTATAGGATAAAGCAGTGACCAGATCCAGAACTGTGGCTGAGAATCCCATCCAACCTCGTCATCTACAGCGTGTGTAGAAAGGGACGGAGGCAGAGGAGCTGGTGGAGGTCACTGGGCCTCTGGAGGTAACCACAGCTCAGCGGTGCCCACGACTGGACTCAGTGGGTCACAGAGCAGCCCTGGTCCTGACCGATGGCCCCTCACATGTCACCAGCAAGAGGAAAGGGGACAACAGGATCAAAGCTTGGGTGGATGCCTGGGCTGTGTGAGCAGAACAGTGGGCCTTGAAATCCATCAGTGACATGGAGGCCCTGGCTCTGCACAACATCCCGTGCACTCCGACCTGAGGATAAAGACTGACCTAGCCAGGGAGTCCATTGCGTCTCTCCTGAGTCTGAGAGGAAAGGACTGAGCAGGGATCTCGACCTTCCTCAGATTTGACCTCAGTGATCTCAGCTGTGTCCACCGACCATGCATGGTGCTGTGCCTGGTCCTCTCAAGAATGCATCATCAACCACAACAGAACCACCACAATGGAAGACGGAAAAAGCTGTGTGCTGAGGGGTTGGAGAACAGCAAGACACAGTGGACAGCTCTGTGGGGTCGTTGCGTCCTGTGGAGAGGCCAGGCACACAGAGGAGTCAGGGCCTGAGCTCCACAGCTGCTCCTGTGACTGCCATGACCTCAGTGTGTGCCGAGCGCCCCCTGCTGGTGCTGACTGAGCATGACCTCAGTGTGTGCCCAGCGCCCCCTGCTGCTGCTGACTGAGCATGACCTCAGTGTGTGCCCAGTGCCCCCTGCCAGTGCTGAGCTCCCTGCAGGGAGGTTTTTGTCTGGCCCACACTGGATTTACTGCACTGTGTGTCTAGCACAGTAATAGACGGCCGTTTCCTCCACTCTCAGGCTGTTCATCTGCAGGTAAAGTGTGTTCTTGCTGTTGTCTCTGGAGGTGGTGAAGTGGCCCTTCACAGAGTCTGCATACTGTATGTCACTACTACTACCACTGATGTATGAGAGCCACTCAGGCCTCTTCCCTGGAGCCTGGCGGAGCCAGTTCATGTAGGAACTACTGAAGGTGAATCCGGAGGCCGCACAGGAGAGTCTCAGGGACCCCCCAGGCTGCACCAAACCTCCCCCAGACTCCACCAGCTGCACCTCACACTGCACACCTGCAAACACAGAGAATCCTGGTCAGCAATTGTCACACACATCCACGGTTCCTCCCACTCATGTCCATTTTCCCACTCAGTGTGTCTTGTCCCTCAACATCACCTTTCAGCAGAACAACAAGGAGAATGCAGCGCAGTCCCAGCTCCATGGTGAGTGCTCTGTGGTCAGCCTGAGCACTGAATGCTTCACCTGGAATCCAGGGCTGACATCTCTCCACACCTTCAGGGTCAGGGCTGGCTGGTTTAAGTGAGTAGAGGAAGGCCCTATTTGCATGTCTTCTACTACATAGTGAGAGCCGTGGTGGAGGTGCCAGGGAGGGCAGTGCTGAGGAAGATGTGAGAGTCCTGAGGGGCATTGCTACAAAGATGGCCTCCCAGAGCACATGGCATCCCATTGCTGCCACCTGCTGGTTATCCACGTATTTGTCCCACGCTGATCTGAATATTACAGTCACCTCCCTGCACAGATGGGAAAGTACACACAGGTTCCACACAGCCGTGTGCTCTGGGGAGAAGATCTCATGTCTGCTACGTCATCTGTCCTTCCTCTCCCTCATTGCTGAGGTCAGTGTCCTCTGCTCCATTCTTGAGCTGAGTGGGTCACGGTCCTCTAGTGAGAGCAGGAGAGACGTGATGCACTGCAGGAACTGCTGAAAGAAGACTCAGAGAGCCAGGCTCATGGGGACACTGCTGACAAGCCTGCATTTCTTCTGTCATCATCTGCATGTCTGTCACTTCTTCTCATCTCATCGACTGCTTACTGCCAACAACCTCACTGAGGATAAATGCTGACATGAACCTCACAGTCACCAAGTGTGCACTTGACATGCATTTGCATATGGACAACTACACAATATCTGTACAAGTCTTTGCCAGTTCATCAATGGGTTTTCCAGCAGTTGAGTGTTGTGGGTTCCTCTCACAGTCTGGATGCACAAATGGTGTTGAGAGTGTGATTTGCCAACGTTTTTTCCTCTCCAAAGCTTGTTATTTATTTATTTTTCACTTGAACAGGAATTTGATGGGCTTCAAGTCACATCTTTAATTGATCCTGCTATAAAAAACCTAATTTATCAATTGGCTTTTCCATGGGCTCTATATTCTGCATAGAAAGCCTTGATTTTCCTGTGTGTTCATTGGAGACCTGGAAGTTGTTGATGTATGTGCACATGAATGTGAATGGGAGACCTGACCTGTTATTGATGTGTGTGCATGTGTCTGAGCATGTGTGTACAGTGGCATTCATATGGCACACTTTCCATAATGCTACTGACAAGTGTGGCTTCTTACTCAAACTTGAGTCAAAAGTGTCAGGAAGGTTGTGCTTCTGGGTTCCATAACTTGGATGTCCAAGTGGAAAGTCAGGTCTTGGTCCCCAGCACATGAGCACAGAGAGGAGGTGAACGTTCAGAATGTGGTCTGGTGGGAGGGGTGCAGGCTCTGGGCCTGGGGTTGAACAGGACAGAGCCTTGCTCAGGACCAGAGGTCCTGATGTCCCCGCACTCATTTCAGTCCCTGAGGATGACGTTATGTGTGTGTGTCTTATGGTAAAATCTCAGCAGAACACAAAAGGTGCTGCAGTGTGGGTCTGGGTTGGGGGTGGCTGCCTCTGAAATGTCCCTGGTTCTCATTTCTGTTTTCCTGGTCAGCAGCCCCGACCTCTCTCTGTCCACAGCAAATCTGAGGATTTGTTCCTTGGCCATTGCTATACTG